CTGCGCCCCTCTCTTTGCCGACTGGTTGGTCCGCCTCGGCTTTTCTCGGAATAAGCTAAAAATTTGTGGAATCCTTTCGCGGATCATCAGAGGGGATTAGATGGCACGCTGTTAAACGGCGGATGTTTTGAAGTTGATTTCAATTGAGGATAGAGTTGTAGGCACATTATTTGATGGGTGAGCATCATATGTGAATCTATGGGATGGTATGCTTCGTGTGTTTTACGTAGCATCGAATTATTCATATGTGTAATAATTGTAGTTGCTGTTCTAGTACGAACGCTGTGTTTCGGTCTTGAAATCATATTCTAGTTATAATAGGTGACATTCGTCATGTTTAAGGAGTCTTGATGGTTCCACATTTATTTCGGTTCTTTCTCAGATTTCTTAGATTGAGGCAAATTTAGTGTGGTCCACTTTGCGTGTTTTATTAACTACGTTGTTAATATAATTAATAACTGCTGATTATTACACGACCTTATATTTACAGATGAAGTGATCTATATAAAAAGTAAAAGTTGTGTCATTTCGAACTATGTACAATATAACAAAGTTAACAAGTAAATTTTCTGAAAGCATCAGTGACCCACTTTACTTCATTCTATCTTGCATACTTACAAATACCATGAATACGTAACATATACAGTCTACTAATTATAGTTTTATCTTTATTGCTCCACATTTTGTAATCAGGATGCATGTATTCACTCATCAAAGTAAAACATATTTAGAGACTGAATGAACAGAGTAGGTACCCATTATTCCTATACTCATTAACTACTAACTATTCATACATAAAGATGTAGTCCTATTATTTATTCCATTAAAACTTTTTTACTCAGAATCAGTAAATAGGTCCATTTTACAAGGTGTTAATAAAAATGTGAAACACATCTTAGGGTAGATTCTACATATCAAACTAAGACGAAAATCAAGAATGACAAAATTGTGTTCAAAACAAAAATTTATTTCTAATTTTCCATGTCATAAAAATGATATTTCAATTTTAAAACATATTATTTAAATAAGCCAAACCTTCTAAATTAAAAGAAAAGTAAAATTTTCTACGTTCGACACACTCTGAACTTTGGCGCGAGCGTTGTCAATAAATAGAATTGGAGTGGGACCAGTTCTTGCAAAAATTAAGGGACTCCGGTTCTCTAGTACAGAAAAGTTAGTCACAAAAATGGAAGCGGTACTCGTACTGAAACCGAACCGCTTTCGTGCAAACGGTTCTTTTTCCATCCCTGATTATGTCAACTGTCTGTGTATTTACTGTACCTATGTCGTAACAGAACTCTCGAGCACAACTCGCGCGAGATACTCTCAATTGGACGGCTACCTTAAATACGCCTGACTTTAGTTAGATACGTAGAATCGAGCCAGCAAAACTGTCTCATATTTTTATTAACACCCTGTACAAAGATGTAATCTTATCATTTCTTCCATCAAACTATTATTCAGATATATTCTTGCCAATTTAGTATCTGGTATTATGCCATTATTATACGTTCAACATTTATGTGTTTATTTAACAAGAGTGAACAGTAGTTCTTTTTCTCTCTCGTATCCGTCTCTCGAATCATTCTATTTAGATAATAAATTTGCTCGTCTCTGTCACGATCTAACAAAATCGCTCCTGTATATACGTACCGTCCATACGTCAAACTCTTCTAATCTCCATATTCGATTCCGCTAGTACGCTGGCAATTTGCATCGCAACATATATCCCGCACCAACACGAGACCACCGTGCACCGTAATTGCAAACGTCACCGAAATTTTTCCCTACGCCGCACCGACCCGCCTCGACGATGTTTTATTTCCCTCGTACGAGCGAGGGGAGTGAGGGGCCTCTTTCAGAAACGTTCCATTCGCGGGCATATTTCAGTCTCTTAACGAGCGTTACCGTGCTGGGCCGGCGCGGATCACCGCGGCGCGCTCATTAAACACTTGTAACGAAGTAGAGAACGGAGAGAGGTAGTTGTCTACGATGGTTCGCGCGGCGCGAAGCGAAATTTCACACGTGTCGGGGCTCATTGTATTTCACCGTTCGCCCCCCCCCCCCACCACCTCTCACGTGCTCGTTTCGATGTGCTAAACATCAGGTAGCAGGCGTCGCGGCCGGAATAACGAGCGCAAATAAAACGGTGTCAGCTACTGGTCCCAATTACCGAACCGACCTGCCGCGGAACGTGCCCGACTCGCTCGCTCGGACCGCCGACGACGATCATCTTTTAATCGTGTTTCTTTGCCCGCGATCATGCCCCTCTGAGTTTTCGACGAGAAAAAAAGAAATGTGGTTACTTGTTAAACGACGAAGGACAGAATGTTACAGGGGATAGTCGGACGTTGTTTCGCGTGATCACGAGGAACTCCTGTCGTTGGTCTAATTTTAAGTGAATACTAAATCCTTTTGTGGATTATTGGATCCATTGCGCTTCCAAATGATCTTAAAATTGTTCATTTTTTTAATGTGTTTACATAGTACTCTATTCTTTAGTAAATTTAATTATTTCAGTAATAAAATGAATATTTGTTGTGTTTATGAAGTTAATACAATTGAGTAGTTGAGAGTTCCACGAGGGGAAATGCCACATGTAGGTACTTAAAGGAAAGTAAGTATTGTCAGATGTGATTAAAGAGTTTACATTGTCTTGCTTACTTGTAGTTACATCTCATTCCAATCACCTTATTGAAATTCATAATAAAAGAATTAAACTGTTTAAAAAGTAATACTCTATTTACTTATAGTAATTTATATAAAATTCAATCAGGATGGCGCAACTTGTTACTGAGTTGTTTGTTTCGGGCATAGCAAATTTTTTTATTAATGTTCACATTTACAATTTTAAATAAACATACATTTCACTATATGATTAAAAATGTTAATATAAAGTATTCATAACATAGTGTAAGCTATACAGGTTGTCCCAAAATAACTTCGACGCCCGGAAGTGAGGAGTTCCTGAGATGAATTGAAACAACTTTTTCCTTGGCAGAAATGTTATCCGAGGTTCTGTTAACGAGATATTAACGAAAAACCCCGACCAATCAGAGCGCGAGTCTGCCGGCCGAGCTTCCACGGTAGCGTTGGCTACGCATTGTGATTGGGAACTGTGTTTTTGTCTATTGCAGACTCGTGCTCTGATTGGTCGGGATTTGTCGTTAATATCTCGTTAACAAAGCCTCGAATAACATTTTTGCTAAGGAAAAAGTTGTTTCAAATCATCTTAGGAACCCCTCATTTCTGGGAGTCGAAGCTATTTTGAGACACCCTATATAATTTTTTAACGCGGACGTTGAGCCTCTGAAACCCAAGTAGAATCTTATAACTAGACTGCGGATTTTAAGCATTCATCACAAATAACAATGCACAAACCGCAATACAGTAAAAATTTTCGTAAAAATTAGCATTAATTTCACTTTTCGTTGAATTTAAAAAAAAAACAATAATAAAGACATAACATCAGTTCAATAAATTAATCCATAGAAATTTGAATTTGCTCTAAGTAGTATACGTATAAATTATCTTTAATCTACGAATGTGTTTCAATTTTGATAACTTGTCTCTAACAAAAGCTTTCACCTTAAAAAATCAAATGGTACCAAGTGTTACTTCGTAAGAAGATCGCAACATCTTTAAAAGGTGAATTTGTTGTTGTCTAACGTAAATAATAGGTTAAGATTTCAGTGCAATTAATAATTTAACCTGAATATTTAAACCGACCAAGATTTAAGGTTCCTTGGATTTCGAAGATTTCCGTCGTGCATAAAATATTTAATTATCGTTTTCTGCTCCACAAGAAGTTCCTCGTAAAGGAGGGGCATGAAATATTTTTAGGGGCATTCTTACGAGTCGTTAAGACATTTCACGGCGGCGCGATTTCTCGTTTCACACGTTTCTCAGATAGAACAACGCGCGTTCTATACTGTCGGTGGGGCGCGAGCCCCGAAGGTCGAGACGCGTGTATCGCGGAGGAGGATCGGGAATTTCTCAGACAGCGTCGTCGAGGGTCGTCCCTTTCGAAACAAAGGACCTCTTATTTCCCACTTACCGGCTTGACAACGCCTTTCGACTCCGCTACGAGATTCTCACGTATGGTCGCTTACGTGACCGTAGTTTATCGCGTTTGTGATCCCGACAGGTGTACACGCGTCCTATTCGAATCTTTATTATAGATGTACCCAGCGTCGATAATTTATCACACTTTAATGATACGTTTCGAGAACCGTATGTAGCTCTCCTTCGACAAGGTGAAAAATGGCAATTGTAGATTGCAGAATTAAATACTCGAATGAATTATCGATTCGTTCGAACATATTGCCTAAATGACTTATTCGTAGAATATTTCCACGTGCAAGAGCTCAGGCGACTTTAAGCCTACAAATAACAGAAACGCGATTGTCAGTGCAATATTACAGTATGTTATAAAATGAAGAAGATATGGATCATGTTATCCGTAATTTACATTGTATATTTCGTTTAAAGTGCTTCATTTTACGAGATTATAAATAAACGAAGATTCTACATAGGTCCTGTTTCGATGAAGCTTGATTAGTCGTGTAAAATGATACATAGTGCTATAATGTCATGTATAATGATAATGTATTATGATTCATCGTGAATTCAACGCGTTGGAATATTAGGTTACCGCAAATTAAACAGACACTAACTGATCATTATTTTAATCAATTTCTATTTCTGTTATAAAATCTAACGAAATCTTCGATACATCTCAATTTAATAAGACCTGAATCCATTGAAGTAACTGTAAAATTACCGATAGACATCTCAAATGAATAGAACTCCATAGGTAAACTAAAAATTACTCAATATACCAATCAAAGTACTAAATCCTTCAATAAAGTATATGTATTTCTTAACATAAGGATTTAACAGAATCAAAATTTATCAAAAATTAATAGAGCACGATAATACTTATAAACTGATTAATTCTATCAAGTATTTCATAAACGTTTCCATATTATCTGTCGCAGGTGATCAAAGGGAACACGAATACCTACCTGGAATCGAAGCACGAGTTGGAGCCACCGATGTGGGCGAGCAAAGTCCGTTTCTTGCCGTACAGTTACCATCGACGCACCGTTTGCATGCGAGTGGAACTGTACGGTTGCCCATGGAACGACGGTATCGTGTCGTACTCGATGCCGCAGGGGGACAAACGCGGTAACTGGGAGTTCTTTGACGCGACTTACGACGGTTACTGGGACGGCCAGCTTCTTCGTGGCTTGGGGCAGCTGACCGACGGCAAAATCGGACCGGATAACTTCAAGATGGGTTATTACGATTACGACCGGGGTCAGGGTTGGGTCGGTTGGAGGAACGACACCAGGTCCGGTCATCCCCTCGAGATTAAATTCGAGTTCGACCACGTCAGGGAGTTCTCCGCTGTACACATCTACTGCAACAATCAGTTCACTAAGGATGTACAGGTGAGTTCATGTCAAATTCACGATAGAAGATTAGGTTGAACTATGATATTAACACTGGAACTACCAAACAAGTCAAAATGTTAGTACACTTTTATTTATATTTTCTTAGATCTTTTGCAACTTTTAGTACTATATGAAAGTGAAGAAATTAGTTAATTTATAAATTTGTAAATTACTAAAAGTTTGTTATGTTTATTGTCCGATCGAAATAATAGATATGCGTTTACCATCGGTAGTTCTAGTGTTAAAAATACACATCTGGCTGTAACGTTGGAATTGCTTATCGACTTTTATATATTAGAATCACATGAAATGATGAACTGTCTTCTAGTTTTATAAGTTGATAATTTCAACTTATAAGTAACTTTTTAACGCATGCAGTTATTTAGCCTTGTTTTGTTTAACGGGAAAGATTCTATTATACTCAAATTACACAGTGATTCCAATGGTAATGACATTACTGATAATAATATATGTTTCTTGTACTAAACACTGAAATACTGTACGCGTTTAATGAAATCATAGAAAGATATGAAGTAAAAGAAGAAACGTATCTTCCTTAAAATTATACTATATTACAATTCATTATAATATAGTAAATGGTGAAATTCATCGAATCACAAGTTGGAGCATACTGAAGGGTTACTCCAAATAAACTCAGACTTCAAAGGAAACATAACAAAAAATTACATAATCAATTTAATGAATGGAAATTTAAATGAATCTTTAAATAAAATTTTCCAGAAAAAATATGTAAATACAATAGAAGTCACACAACTGAAATTTCAGTCTGTTTGTAATAGGATAACGAAACTTTGTGGTACAGACGTACACCTATGTTTGACAATATTTCAGACAGAATATAGGTATCCATAGATCTGAATATTAAATATAAGGCAACATTTCAGGAGACTATACCCATAGATCTGTATATCAAGGATATCGAAGGACATACTTTTATTGTATTAATTAAGAAAAATAATATTTAGTCATTTGTAATGTAAATCCATCAATTATTTCTTCATAGTATTTTACGCTACTTCAGTCCTCTATTCGTGCCGGTGCAGGCTAGAAAGTTTCACCTCTGATTCAGCGATTATTGGCGGGTAACGAAGTTTGGCGGGTAACCCGCAGCCAGGTCGATTTCGCGTCGTGATTTGGACGGTGGAGCAAACGGATGAGACATCGGGATGAGGAGGGGGATACGGTACGAGAAACCAGAGCCTTCCCCAACGTTCACGGGTCGTGATCTTCGTATCCCCACGAGCGAACCCTCGGGCAGATTTTTGGCCCGGGGAACAGTCACGTAACTTACATTCAACCAACATGCAGACTCGAAGTCACGCTCTACGTCTGTTACCATCCGGTAGAAATGCTCCTATTCCCTACCAATCCCTGTTATTACACCACCAATTTCACAAACTCACTCATATCATAATAAAAACAAAAACCAAAATATTTCCCCGCGTTAATTGGTACATCAAAAGCCCTGAACATTAAATATTTCATAAACTGATTGCCATTTGCGATTGAAACAAATATTATTGGCTTGAAAATTCCAAGCTCTATCACTGTGCTAAACCTCATTAAAAAGTCAGCATTACACCTGGGCACCTCTCCATGACAATGCCGAGGAGCCTTCAAACACTCATCGATCATTTACTGTACTTTCGTTTATCGATCGCTCCAATTTTAATCGAACACTTCGACTTCGTCCCCTGCCACGGATATCCAGTAAACGATAGAATTTCCCCTCTCGTAATCTTCTCTCGTCCACGCTTGGTACAGGGATCCGGCAACGCATTATTTTCAAATTTCCTCCGTGATCGTTCACCGAATCGCGGAGGATTTCATTTCACCGGGAACGCGCGGAAAAACCAAGGTGTGTATGTAGATAGACACGCGCGTCCGCAACAGGGAGGAAATTGGAAGCGCCTGCAGCGGTGAGACTTCGGCGCGAGCTGCGATACAAAAAAAAAAATAGGGTTGGTGAGGTTGGGTACGGGACAACGGGGCAGAATACAGATAAAGTGAAAAAATGCGAGACAGAGAGTCGTGGCGAAACCCCCGCGAAGAAGATTCTCGCACCAGCCTTTAATCCGCGACTAGGAGAGAAGGGCGAAAAAAAAGTGGGGAATGGGTGGGGGACGATGGTGTACGCTGTGAAATCCAGTTTCACGTCGGAGTCAAGGTTGAAACGTAGGATGGGTAACGAGGCGCAACAACGGTTAGCCCCTAGGTTCGCCTGGAACGAATGAAAAGAAAGAGATAGAAAGGGAAGAAACGAGACCTGGTTCTGGAGAAGCGCGATTTTACAGGGTGGCAACAACGGTTGCGGCCACCCTAGGGTGAATGTCAGGGCAATGGTGGGTGTTGGCCGTTTGTTGGAAAATCCCTTCTCCCCCCCCCCCCCTGCCAGCGCTTCCGGCCACGAATTTCTATATAATGGCCCCGCCACCGGTATCAAGATTTATTTCAATGGGAACCCCCTCATTACCCTCGGCCAGACCTCTGTTCCGTAATCGAGCAGCGAAAGGGGCTCAGGACAACAAACAATCCACGGGGAAACAAACGGCTTTTAAGAAATGGAATTTCTTGCCGCTCTGACCCTTCCTGCGGAATCTGAGCAACTTGGATTCTCGGTGACTTTTTTTGTTTTTTTTTCAAGAGAGCGTTTCGATGAAAAATTATGCGCTGAGGTTTCAGAAGGTACGATGTTGATGGTTAGTCTTTGGTTGTTTTTAAGTAGATTAAATTTTTTACTCTGTCTCCGCTTTTTTGAAATTCTGTTAATATTATTTTGCTGGTTTATTATTACATGCTGGAATGTTGTCGGACCTTTCTCAGTCGGTTTTTATTCTTTTTATAGATTTAGTCATTTTTATGAACTTTTTGTTTATGTGTGGGATACTGGCAAGTGTAAGTGAAATGCATAATGGAAATTTCAGTAACAAACTGTCTTTATAAGCGGATACAACAAGTATGTTAGGACTACTTCGCAAACTGACGTGAACATGTTACTGAAGAGCGATTTAGAAATACAAATATAGGAATTAAATTTGTGTTAGATAAGTTTTATTCAACGTAGTGTTATAATATTTTATAAACTAACAGTAGGAACTTTTGTATCTCTTCTTACGAACTTTGAAGGGAAGTTTCATCCTTAAATATGAAAATGGGCTAAAGTAAAGAAAAACACGTATTTGTTATACTTTTCCGTCGTCTATAGTCTATAACATTAGAAAGCCAAAGCAATCGAAGGTGAACACCTGAAATCCTTCCTTTGTTAGAGTAAGGCTTTGATTGTAGATTTTTCGTTAATTGTATGCATACAGGGTGTCTCGACTACATTGTGAACCTCGAATAATGACTTAATGGTACACTTTATGAAAATTTTGAGGCATGGAACTTAAGAGGCACATCTTATAATGTATGTACTTTTTTGTGAATGGAGGCATTTTAGAGATTTCAAGGTCACTTCGATTTTTTAAACGGAATAACCTATTTTTTGTTCCAAAAATCGATAGACTATCAAATTATGAATAAAAATGTGTTGACCTTCATACGTCTTAAACCTAACAATTAACGAGATATTTAAAAATAATTTTTGATACGTACGTACTATCTGGAAGCTATCTTGAACCAATACCCCTCAACTTCCATAGAGCGATTTCAATACAGTGATTGTTTTGTAACTTTTGCATTTTCCCTTAGACCTGAACCACTACTTGAATCAGTCACATTTACTGATTCATTTACCTTTGAGGACAGCAGCTTGGTCGCATTTATCAGTTAGGGCCTTTAGTGAGTCAGGAGGTTAGCTATCCAACTTGTATGTAAATACATTATAAATCAGATCCATGTACATTTTTATATGATATACTAAATTCAAAGTATAATTCGAATGCACATGTTTCTACATTTTCTCAAATTTTATCAATAGATTGTCTTTAGAGTTGTATGTAACGAACTATTCGTCCATTATAACTACATATTATACATATTTACATAATTCCTGCATAGTATACGCAAGATTGCAGAACAAAGTAAGTTAGGAAATTAATAAAATTTATTAACAATCCTACTGAGACTCGAATAAAATCCCGTGTCATAAACATAAGTTTCTATTTAACTTTGACTGTTGCAAATCCATCCATAATTGGAATACACAGTCGAATTATAACTTTCAAGTCCTGAAAGCGTATAAACTCTTTGAAATTATACAGTAGTCCGTAGGATCTCGAACTTTGCATTTCACATTACCAATCACCAATTCTAATATAAAACTCAACCTAACAAGCCACCCCGCAACCAGTTCGAAAAAGAAATTACCGTTGAACGAAGTAAAAAATGTGGCAATCGAAAGTCATAAGTCCACAACGTCCCTACACCCCGCATTCTTCGACCTATTCACAATGATCCGCGGGATCGCGAGGTTGGCCGTCCTCCGGCAGAAAATGGTGGATTTTCCGGGGCGACGTCGGTTGATGGGCGAATCTCTATATAATGGGCCTCGAAACACTCTCCACGCCGGTATCAAGATTTATTTGAATGGAGCGCCTCATTACCCAGCTCGGGGCTCGATTGTATGCCCCCGACCGGGCAAGATGGCGAGCCTCGGAGAGGTGGAGAACGAGAGGAGGTGGCGAATGAGGCAAGGGCAGCAGAAACGGCGCTGCATCGACTCGAGCTGGAGTAGGATGAGAAGGCTACGAAGGAAGGAAGGAAGGAAGATTCGTGGAAGACAGGAAGGGAACGTCGGGGAGCAAGAGGAACGGTCTCGGTTAGGCGGTACTTTCTCTTTCTCTAGTCAATACGCACAATGGTGGCGAGCAACGAGCCAGGAGGAGCAGATACGCCACGTATTCAAATACAATACCGACAGTCTGGCAAGTCGGCAGTCTATGGCTGAGGTATGAAGCTCCGAAGCAGAAGGGGTGAGAGACGTTGAGGTGGTAGCAGCCACCCCTAAACGTTCCCTCCTATTAACAAGCGCCCGCTCGCGCGGATAGGACACGTCTTCTGAAAGACAGCACTTCAAAGCATCGCCAGTTTCGCTCCTCGTCTCCCCGTGCATGGCCTCTCCCCACCATCGGCTTCGTGGCCGCCACTTCGTCTTCTTCGGCTTCCTCATACTCTCGACGACCGTCGTCGTCGAGGAGCTTCAGCGGGTTTCGACGTTCAACTCCCTTGAAAATCCATACACGCGTCCTCGTTGCGTTCGTCTTCGGGGGCTAAGAGAGTTAGATAATCTCAGCTTTGTAATCTCCGTTTCCAAGCTCTCCGCCTTCTTCCATCGTCTCTCTATCCCTCCTCTCTCTCTCTCTCTTTCTTCCTGTTTCTATCTGTTCCTCTTCCTCTGGCTCGCTCGAACTCGCCTTGGCGCGTCAACCTCTACCGGAGCTTTCCCACTCTTCAGGTTCCGGGCTGGTATTCTCCGCGGCGCGACTGTTTTACGCTTTCCACGGGAGTGGAATTAGCATTCCGCGCGGCCTTCGTGCCGCTGGAAACGCACCAGCCACGGGCTGGCTAGCAATTATCAAAATCGTCGATGTCAACCGTAGTGTTGCCTCTATAAAGTTGCTCGTTATATCCGTAATAAATCGCCGGTGTGTATGTATTTGTGGGATAGGAATCGCGGAGATGTATTAATATCCACGCTCGCTCCTTAGCGCAGATACCCGCGGCTCCCATGGGCTCCAACCGCGCACTCACGCCGTAAGATACTGATTTATACATATAATTAATGTTGAATATTAGCCGGTATATCATGTTTAGTCTACACAATGAGCAGCTTAATTTTACTGTCCGGAATATAACCTTCTCGTGTGCTGCGCGCGTTCACGTGGCTTCCCTGCGACGTGTTCCATGCGCATAGACATTAGAGATCCTGTTCACGAATGTTCTATCCTATAAGGGAGAGTTTTATTAATTAATGCGATTACAATGAACTATCTTGCTCGGAGGCCTGGGCCTGACTCTACGATGATCGCACGTCCTTCGTGGTTGGCACGATCTATCTTTTTTTCCGAAGATACACGCGATTAGGTCAATTGACGTTGGCTAAAGAAGCCCTTATATGAATATACATATACATAGCGTTCGCTACCAGGTGTTAAATATGTCGACACTCTAATTTCTAACAATAAATCAGCATACTTTATTTGATGAAAGCCGAATATGTTTTGTAATATTCACTTATATTTCACGTTATTCATTATCTTTGGTTTTTGTCTTTTTACTATGTGACCAAGAAGGTAAGAATATTCCACTGAAGAGAATGATGGATACCTAGAGTAGCTTGTAACGAACGTTTTCGAAATAATCCGATCGTTGCGAACGTGTTAAGCTATGTCCATACTGAAGGAACATAATCCGAGGATCGGTTGGGTTTCGTTTCACTTTTCTTGCCAGCAACAGAAACACGAAGAAACTTAGTGAAACATTCGGCAACAAGCGGTGACTTTTTCAGAAAAAATGGAACATCCACAAAAAGTTCCTCGTTGTTGCTTCACCGAGGACGCTACTTTACAGTCTCGAGAGTAAAATCATTTTTACCATTTGTCAGTCGAGTACACGCGAAAAAATGGACAAATACAGACACTTGATGGATTCGAAAGTATCGGTATAAAAATAATACGCAACTATGAAGTTCTTGTAACAGCAGTTCATCAAGATCTGAATGGTATTAAAGTGAGATGTAGCGAGATAATATAACATGATCCCAACGATAACCTGACACAGGAGTAACGTATACTGTTACCAATTGATTGTATGCTATTAGAGACATCTTTTACCTGAAACAAGGAGAAAGATAAAGAACGTGGCGTCTCTTTGCTTGTCCACAGGTGTTCTCCGAAGCGAGTATAATGTTCAGCGTCGGTGGCCGTTACTACACCGGCGACCCGATCGTGTACTCGTACATGGAGGACAGGATCTTCGAGCACTCGAGAAATATCTCCGTCAAGCTACACCATCGGATCGGGAAGTTTGTCAAGCTGAGGTTAAGCTTCGCCTCCAGATGGATCATGATCAGCGAGGTCACCTTCGACTCTGGTGAGTATTCTATTCTTTATCAATCTTGTTTGTTTGTTAACGACCCATCTATTCCTCAAGTCGTATCGTTATATAAATGGGAGTAAAGAGATTTTCAATATTAATTATTAATATATTACTGTTCACGTTTAATATTTATTCATGTAGAAAGTAAGAATCCATAATTTTTCACTGATCGCAACACCAATTTTATAAGAATTTCCGGGAAAATATATACACCGAATCTAAATTCTATTATTATCTTGTTAAAAGAATACTACTTAGATTAATCGGCAATACACTTAAAATACCAGCACTCGTGTAAAATACCAATAACTTTAAAATATTGGGTGTAGCCCTAAATAATCTACAATTTCCCAGGAATAATCCAAATATTTTATAACAAAAATATTATTCTGACGTTTGACCGAACAACTATAATGAACAATAATAAATGAAACAATATGAATCCTTGATTATCACCAATAGGAATGCTAATCTCGTCATCCAATAGAGAATTACTTATTGCTACACCTCATAGTTAATCTAAAAACGTCAAAACTTTTAACCTCGTTGTACAAAAAGTATAGCACAACCCCACCTAGAATTACAAACACGTTTCGAGATGAGGAAGGATTCGCGATTCCCTGTTGCAGACGTCGCTCACGGCAACTTCACCCCGGAAGCGCCGCCCACTACCGAAGCGCCGAGATTGCGGGATCGAATATCAGCGCGTGACAATCCACTTCAGGCGGAAGTGCCGGTCGTAAAGCAGGACGACCCGACTTACATGGCAGTGATCATCGGCGTTCTAACCGCCGTGATCCTCCTTCTGGCTGTCGCGATCTTCCTGATTGTCTCGCGACACAGGCAAAGGAAGAACTTCGCCAGCCCGTTGGGCGCGAAGAGCGCGATACCATCGGGCAATCATCAACACCTGTCCCCGGAGTCCGCGTACGGCACCACGGAGAAGGACCCGTCGTTGATGACCTACAGAGTCGAGGAACTGGACGATCGGTACGGTGGGACCAAACTGACGACCTTGCCCCGCGATCTGAACGATCGTCTGCTGGGCGACGTCAGGCTGGACGAATACCAGGAGCCGTTCCACGAGAAGTATCGGGAACCACCCCACGCAGCTTATTACGGATACAGTACTGTTGTTATAGACAATAAGGATCTTCATGACAGCGTCGAACAGTCTGGTAAGTGTGATTAATCAGACGAGATCTGGATTTTGAGTTTGGGCAATTTTTGTCTTTCCATGCAGTCGTTGAACTTTTGGAGCGAAATTCTGTATTTTGTTGTTAAGAGTATTATTGATCGGTGATTTTTTCAATAGTAGTAGGTAATAATATATTTTTTAATTGCAGTTTCTGTTGATAGAGTAAATGTAGAAAATTTTGAGATCTCCTGTTTTAAACTTCTATTTGGGGGTTTTTTTAGTCATTGCTTTGAAATGTTGATTACTTCGTTGGTTGCGGTGTGTAATTAAATAGGAAACAATGTTGTCTCGTTCGCAGATGCCACTTACGATTACGCAGTACCAATGCCTGTGCCTAGTGTAAGCAGCGACCAGGACAGCGTGTTCTCGAAGTCATCATCAAGGGGTAGCGCGAAGGTAAATGTTCGCTAACGGTAGCTACTTCTTGTTATTACATTTAGTAACTTTCATAAATACATATGAAACACCTTAAGTTTATAACACAATTGCATTTCATACGTAACTGTAGTGGGACTTTGATTGACTATTTTTATTCAATTTATGGCAGGCTGGTTGAAACGATATCCATTTCATAACAGAAATTTGAAAGGAACTGAAAATAAAGAATTGTCCATTTGCAAAGTAATTAGGTCATAACTATAACAAAATTATAGATAAATATACTTTTGTATGACACAATATACTTAGTATAAGTACGTAAAAGTTCTTGTACTATACATATAATCACGCTCTTATTCAATGTAAAACTTATTTAGCCTAAATAAACGTCATAATTAAATATGACAAAAATTAAATCGAACTACAGTAGTATCAAATAAAGTACATTTGATTTATAATAAAAATTACGTCCTTTAACACAGTAAGTTTATCATTGCTAAGAGTATTAGAAGTACGAAAGTTTTCCCTTTAAAGTGATTTTTGTTTCACGTCGATACATTTCCTTGCTGAAATATTGTCGTTTAAAGCGAAGCATAATTTTCAATGCTATTGCTTTCTCATTCGCACAGTCTAACCTCTCGGTCGCACGACTCACTGTCCGCTGACCGAAGTTTGCTACCTGCGCAAGGGTCAATGGGGAAAACTGGGTCAACGTTTTTTTTTACAATTAGGAGTACGCTTACTACTATACTGTTACACTTTTACGCGGAAGACGCGCTTACTGCACTTCCTTGTCGTCATTCATATTCTATAGTTCTATACAGTCATAAGGGAAAACTTTAGAGCCCTGTATCTGGAAAACCGATTGACGTATCGACGTGGAATAAAATGCGTTTTAAAGCTTACAATCTCCGCTATACTTGGATGGATTTTTATACAGAATTTACATATTATTTACCCTAAATTTTATCTTCAAATTTGATGATATATTCTCATTTGCTAAGAAATGTTTTACTAATTTTTATTATTTGCGTGGTGTTTTTTTTTCAATACTATTCTACTGACAGTATGTACCATAATAAATACGCAACTTGTTCGTTGTTTATGTTATTTATGTCTGATATTTACGAAGTATCAATGTGACGACAAATTTGTTCAAATTATTAATTAAAGTTAATACATTTATTCTTTAAACTCGTAATAATAAAAAAAATGAAGGTTTAATGTATAAATATCACTTGAAGTTATTGCAGTACTGTAGGTTATTGCGTCAATGTTTTAAAGTACATTGCCATAATATACATAATAGGTGCAAATTATTATACAGTCAACACGCTTTGTAAATATTTAATAAAACAATTTTTTCATGAAGTTATCATAACCAAAAATTAATCATTTCAAATGTACTGGTTATAATCATAGTCCAACCACAGTTCTGAGAACCAGAATGAACAATTTAAACTAAGAATCATTTCCCTCGTATAATTAAACTGTGGATGTCGCTACAAATTTATTCTCATAGATTAACCTACCAAAATCGCAATTAATCTTCGAAAGGTCGCAGTGTATCCGAGAAATGAAGTCAATTGAAAACTACTTATAGGCTCTCCTCTCAGTTTTAAAGTTTTATACTTCTCCATAAAAAAATACTCGATATCTCCGTTTTCAGCTTCGGTCTTGTGGCTAGAAATCTCTTGAATTTCATGAACGTAATTCAATAATATCGTTTTCATCTACACTTCCATTTTTAAACTCTCATTTTTAAAATCTGTCAGATCAAACGCGACCTCCGGACAGTTAAACAGAATTTTGTTTCCTTAAGTGGTTGTTTTGTTACATTATATAAAACTGAAAAACCAAACATTTAAACTGTATTTGTCCCTTATATTACATCGTGTCTGTAGACTCAAATGTACTATAAATGCCCAAAAGCAATACGTTTCATTCTCTTCATTTCTGTTGCGTTAGGCGTGCTTGCAGAGCTTTTTCCCTCCGCCGCCACCACCAATGTGCGCGCCGCCCCCGCGAGGATCCAGCAATCTGACGTACTCGAATCCACCGAGCCCGGAGCCAGTCTGCGAGCGTGATCGCAGGGGAAGCAAGCGTCGCGAGCACTCGTTGCACAGATACGCGTAAGGAACGTCCCCAGCATTCCATGCGGACTGCAACGCGGATCGAAGGTACGATACAGTCTCGTACACGACGTAGAGAGAGGTCACACACGACATAGATTACGACCCTTCAGCATCCATATACCCTTCGCGAATCATCTTTGCGTTCTGTACACCATTCTATCATGAACAACGAGGTCTCAGCCATCACGATAATTCCACGATTCTGTAAATATCCCAATTTAAATTGTATTAAATCTATCGAAAAAAAAACAACAGTAATTGAAGAGGGAAGATGAAGAAGACTACACGAGGATACACAACATTGAATCGACTGCACCGATCGCGATGAGAAACGCTCGACACGCGGCTCGTTCCCCGCGTTTATATTTCCACAAGCACCCAATTAGGTCGTATAGCGAAATCGATGTTCGACGCAGTTGATTCCATCGACATCTTTCCTCGAGACGAGCACTGCCATTGGTGCACTTTCCGAGGTATACTATATACATATACCTATCTAACTGCTGGTTCGGAACCTCGAGTATCGTGCTCGAAATGACTTAACCTACTTCCACCGTGTAGGTAGGCGAACGCGTGAACCGGAGTTGTAACTACAATTGGCATATCAGTTTAATGACGCCGCCGCGATAGCACTGTCCGGCTCTCTTCTGGAAATTCGGTCCAAACGGCATACAGAACGTTCGAAGGCGCCCTGTTCACGATCCTTGATGTCGTCGAACGCTCCGACCGCGACGATATCTCTCCTCTACGATTTCTATTTTCTGCCAGTTTTTTACCGAGCAAACAGGGTGTGCGCACGACCACGAACCAAGAATATTAGCCGCGATTCCGCTGGCGCGTAAAGCAATCCATCGGTTTTTTATACGTGTAGTCAAGAATAGGCGGTCTCGGAGCTTCGATCTAAAATCTAAGGGATCGAACGTGTACGGTGTCGATCATAAATATGTTCAAAAATTATTCCGAACTTCTTTCACGGAAATTTTATTTTTACTTTTTTTCGTTCTATACAGGGTGTTCTTGGAGTAAAACCATAGCGTGCAGGCTTAGGAGGCTATTCAGCCGATTGAGAGAACAAAGCTAGTAAAACAAGTACAACATCACACAGAGAATCATTTGATTAATCAGCTTGCGACTCAATTGACTAGGTGGTTTATCTAACCTTAAATAATTTTTTTTTGATACTAAGCTAGGTAGTCAGCTCCACCGCGCCCTAAACCTACTCGATGTGTTTTTATTTACCCTTTCTTTTAGGATCTTGTTTTCACACATAAAAGTATAATTTTCATTATTCGTGTGAGAAATTGAAGATAAGTTACACAATATGGGAAATATGATTATTCTAGTCATGTATGAAAGTACTTCATAGCTGTTTTCTTAACTATTCATAGGCAATGTTGGTCGTTGATGATCCAAAGGAAATTTCACTTTTTATGGACTCTCCTCTGAATTTCTATTTCCATTGCAAAAAGTTTTAAACATTTGATTTAACGAATGATTGTATAATGTAGTAGAGACTGTGATAAGTATTCCAGAATTTTCTCAGATATTTTGAGAACCTAAAACAGTAGAAAATATTAGGTTCGGGTATAAACGACCAAGTTTGTCCACCGAGGATTAAAAAAGAAGAAAAGATCATATCAGGTTCTTTCTACAAAAAATATACAGAACTTCATCAATTCTTAATGACTCCTTAAGGGGTCATGCTCAGTTAGGAGGCCGAAAAAAGAGTGTTGTTTGGGAATTTTTTTTTCAAAAACTATAACACCTTTTTCAAAAAAATGTATTTGTGTTTCAAAGATTACAGTTTCTAGATTAGAAAATAATTTTTTTTATTTAAAAATATTTATTAGCAAATAAATGGTGAGCGATCTCCCGGATGTCTCTTCACAAAAAGTGATCTGCCGTGATCACTGAAACTTCGTAACGGTTCATCTGAAATTAAAAATTCAGTAAGCTTTATGTAATGGAAGAACCAATCTTGTCCTTGAACGTGGGGTTTTTCGAAATATTGATTAGGAACAAAATGGCGGACATTTTCCTGAAAAAGTGCGATTTTTACCTAAAAAGTCACTCGTTTTTGGTCGATTAAAAAAAAATTCTTCGTTCAAGGACAAGTTTTTTTGATTTGAAATAAGACGCAAAAGGTTTCATGTAAATTGACACAGTAGTTTTCGAGAAATATTGATCACCGATTTGAAAAATGTAGTTTCGAGAAAAACGCGTTTAAAGTATCAAGTCAAGCTTACACTCATATCAAATGTTTATTTTTTACCGCCCGTAACTCTGTCATTTTTAATTGGAGTACCTTGAAACTTACCCAGAATATTCTCGAGATGTGCTTCAAGAAAATGTAGAAAGTGAAAAATTTTTTGAAAATTTCTGACTGAGCATGACCCCTTAACCATGATGGTGACGGTAATCCCTCTTATTGAGAAGCTGCAGTTTTGCTACAATAGACAAAAACGGCGATTTAGAGGAGCTTAGTGGGTACACACCAGAAACGGAATCTTCAACGCCACGCAGCTTCTCGCTAAGAAACCGAAACGGAGTCCCCTTCATAATTCGGAGTATATTACAGTTGTTAAAAATTGATCGAAAGCATCACATCTTCCACGCGAAATGAGCTTTGCACCTGATCTCGTCGACATTCATAAATACCAGATGTTAATAAAGGCGAGCACCCTGTATATATTTCTCGCAGACATTTCCCATCCGAGACGTTAAAGGAGAAGAAAAAAAAACTTATATTTCAACTCTCTCTTAAATTCCGTGCCTCGGGTGAATTACAGGCTTCTGGAGCCCGCCTTCGCCCAACCGAAAAAAAAAGAGTCATATTTTTCGTTGATACCGTACACGCACACACCGGGGCTCGCGTGCTGCCACGATACGTTTTTCCGTCTCACTGCCACAATTCTTCCCCGCGGCGCGTAACTAGCTGGCGCGCGCGACTACGCGCTGGGAACCGCGCGCAAAAACGCCTGGCCCGCGATAAGGAAACCGCGCGAACCGAACGGATTTCCAGAAGAAGCTTAATGGTTTAATGGTTTCGTCTGTTCGTCGCGCATGTGCAACCGGATCGAGCTCGCTATCGATCCGAATACCGTGGTGAAACACGATGAAAGAAACAATGGACACGCGAACCGCTTCCTTTCTGTTTTTCTTTTTGTATTATATGGTTATATTTATCCGATGACTGCACTGGATCGAATTGGTCTCGTTAATTGATCGCCGACTGATCGTACAATCGTTCGAATGGAGGTTCACGATCGCGTTCGAAGAGCCTGGAAACTTGAACCAACATGGGAATGCTCAATGATATATAATATATCAAGCGTTATTAATGATCGAATAAAAATTCGTGGGTGGTAGGGTGATACGTTAGCGAGCTTCGATCCAGCCTCACACAAGACTGACTGTCAAGTAAATAATTGAGTAACCCCGAGTAGCACGCATGTGCGCGCACGCGCGCGTGCATTCGCATTCGACGTATTATTTATTATCGCAGCATATAGGCGCCCCCGTAACGAATCTTTAATTCATATACGTATATGTATACATACACGCGTATATATGCGATATATATGTATATACATATATATATTTGTATAAGAACGAGAAGAAAAAAAAATATATATATTATAAATATATATATGTATATATATACATGAAAAGAATGGAACACAGAAGGTAATACGTATTATTATCGGCGGATTTTAAGCATATGATATAATGATATATTGTAATAAGCCCGACTTTATTTCTCTATCACTTACCGACATCGCCTTCATGCAACGAGGAGAATCGAGAGATTAGCCGACGTAAGGAATCGACAATACAGGGATGGTGACAACAATAATTAAATACATGTGTACGTAGACGCGAGCAAAATGGGGGTTGGGGGGAGAGGGATAGATGAAATGGAACGTGTTACACGCCGCGCTGGGGGGGAAATCGACCACATTGTGATATACTAAGCAAATTTAATAATAATAAAACGAAGCGACGTGGGTGGGGACGAACGGGAACCTAGCTCGATGGTCAGAGGGACAAGAAACACGCGTCGAAGGGTCGCGCGCTTGTTCAACGCGAGCTTCGACGAGAAATCATTTTTTCCGTTGAACTTGTTTTTCGACGCACGACTTATTCCCCATGTCTATTTTCGTTTTACATAGATCGTACGGTGCTTCAAGCGATTCTGATTTAAAATCTGTCGTTAAGTATATACATATATGTCTTGTATAGTGTCAAAGTATGATTTCATTTGTCGTCCATTCGAAGCTCGAAAACGCGTTCTACACGCAGGAGCTATTACACGCGGGGGTACAATGTTCCCGTTTTCTTTTTCTTAGGCGTACAGAGGAAACACCACCACGCGTAGCCATCTACAACGATCGGAAAACTTAACTACTGTATATTTAGTGTTTAATCGTCGATATCGTTGTCACGTAGACTGTTAAAAGTAAACCGTAAGAGTGACAGCTTCGAGTGCTTCGAGTGTAAATATAACCGTTAGGGACCTCGTGACACGTACACACAATACACTTCCTCTTTCAGACACACACACACACACACTAACACGTACACACTATTTCATACCTTTCAAGCGCCTTAAGTTGGGGGGCACTGTGAGCAAATAATAACTTCGTCGCAATAATAATCGTCGTTTCCTTTTTCTACAATTTTTTAATTCCTCGATTTCACGTTAACGAAACGAAAAGGAACGAGAACGAAATATCACGTGCAAACGACTATCTTTTTAAGAAATAATACAGCGGCGGACTGATGAGCGAACGGTTGCTTCAAGGTTCTTTGCCATCATTCTGAGAAGAGACTCGATGACGATTCCGGCATGTTTGTGGTCCCTATAGTCGGACGGAAGTGAATTGGACGCTCAAGGCCACTCTCCCCACCATAGTCAAAACCCCCTCTTATTAATCTGTTATACTAGTGAGTGCTGTTCACAGAACTGAAACTTTTTCATAACGTTTGACATCGAAAAAT